CTCCGTATGCACTCTTGTGAGGCATCTCAGATGCTCCAGACTGACAGATGCTCACAACTAGCAGACATGTGCAGGCATTTAAAAAACCTCTCTGGGGACACTTCAGGCATGTCTTTTGGGGCCCAGGACAAGGGAGACACATGCTGATAGATGCCATGTTTCTATGTCCAGGGCCACACCTACCCAGCCAATTCTATGGGTGCTCATGAGTCTTGCATGGAGCCATCACTCTACTAGAATCCCAGGGTCCAGGGCATTCTTCCCCCATAAGCCTAACCATGGTATGTGTGGACAGAAGGAATACTGGGGGGATTGCCTGCATGTACCCAGAGGAACCCCTTGCTTCCCTCTAGGGAGGCTCTGCTGCTGGACTTGAGTCCCTAGGATGAAGGAGCCCTTGGGACAGACTGAAATGGAATCCAAAAGGGGGTAAAATCATCCCACTCTAGGAAGGACCCTCAAGCTCTAAGTCTGTTCCACTCACGGTTCAATGCTGATCTTGGTGTCGTCCTTCACCACAAAGATGCCAGGAGAGCTCTCCACTGGACCTAAAACATACAATGATGAGCCTCTAGGAGAATGGCTTGCAGGGATCCATGGGACCCTTCTGCCTGCCATAGCGGACACAGAGGACAACAGTCTCACTGATATTACATGCAACAGGGGTGGGGGGGGCTGGCATCTGAAATGGCAGAGTGGGGAGTTTGATGGACTCTTCCCACCTTCACAACTGAACTGGTGAAAATGATAGAGAATAGTAATCTCAAGTGTCTGGCAACTGTCCTAAGGGTATAGAGCAAATGGAGAAACATCATTCAAGACCACTAACTGAATCCTGGTAAGAACAGTGAGCATCTGTGGCATTTGAGCCAGGACCTGCTCCCTGACCCTCAGCTCTGAATCACAGGAGTTCTATCCCAAAGGTTCAACTTCAAATATGTGAGGCCAAGGAAATGGGTCTCTTACTCACCCAGCCCCCAGTCTAGGCCTATGGCTTCATCCCAGGAGGGACAGGCTGCAGCCTCGTATTGCAGGAGCTCTTGTCCAAGCCCATGTAGCTTAGAGGACCTGGGGATGCCTTTCAACAACCCAGCCCCCACTCTCATAGGGGAAGATCCACCCCAGGCACAAACAGCTGAGGATACAGGAGCCCTGATGGTCCCCATCCAAGCTCAGCTGTGGAGGCTCCATGCTGGGAAGGGCAAACTGAGAGGAGCAGGGGCTACCACCCCCACCCAGGGCCCACTCACAGAGGGAGGAAGGGGCACTCTGGGAAAAGCAGGCCCCTGCCCCCAGTTCCAGGGCAGCACTGGAAAGCTCTGCTCAGGGATGAGAGCTCCACAGCCTTGCCTGAAAGGCCTGACTTGATTTGGAGCAGAGCAAGGAGAACCCCAGGCCAGAGGGCAACACTGAAAGCAAGAACATCATCCAAAAACCAAACCAAACTCACTGCTGTGGAGTCGATTCCAACTCATAGTGACCCCTCCTTGGGTTTCCAAGGCAGTATCTCTACAGAAGTAGATTGCCAGTCTTCCTTCTGAGGAGGGGCTAGCAGGTTTGAACCACCAGCCTTCTGGTCAACCTTAGGCACTATGCCATCAGAGCTCCCAAGGAAATATTGGCGGAGCCCAATTAAGAGGAACCTGGTAACTCCATGATGCTGCAAAAAGGAAGGGCGGCCAAAAGTTTAATGAAGAACCAGGAACAAGACAGCCAAGATGAGTCCTCCTAGGGCCAAGTCAGCCCTGGGAGTCCTGGGTGCATGCAACCTGAGCAGGACGTGGGGCAGGTGGGAAAGCCCCCCACGCTGCATACAGACCATCACCATCGGACAGAAGCCTTGCTAGCATGACCTCTGGCCAAACACTGACTGCACAGTAAGCTACTCTGATCCAGGTGTTACTTCTAGGAAGCCAGGCTTAACAGTAAGACCACACACCTCCTTGGCAGTCTAGAGGACTACGTGCATGCCTAAGGCTTCACTCAGCAATCAGAGAGGGCACTCCCAAGACACTAGAACACCTCCAAGATATGAGACCTGAGCTGAATGTGGGGCAAAACATAATCCCCCTGACCTGAGACAGCAGCTTTGAACCACACACACACACACATCCAATGATAAAGGGTAATAATATGACTGGCCAAGGAGGCTCAAGCACAACCTTATGCTGACCAAAGGGAAACTCTAAATAGCCAGGCTAAAAGATAAAAAGAACCAGGGAAATCTGAGCACAAATATCAGAGGATGAACCAAACAAACAAAAAAACAAACTCACTGCTGTTGAGTCCAATCTGACTCACAGAAACCCTATTGGACAGAGTAGAAACGCCCCACATGTTTTCCAAGGAATCTTTATGGGAACAGACTGCCTCATCTTTCTCCCATGAAGCAACTGGTGGGTTCCAACCACTGACCTTTGGGTTAACAGCTGAATGCTTTAACCACTGCACCACTAGAGCTCCTTAGAGGATGCACACTATGGGGGAAATAGACTTTGTAAGATTAGTTCCATCAATGCAATATACAAAGAAACAAAAGACCAAATAAGGAACAACAAAACTGATCCTGAGGGGTGGGGGCACTCATATCCAAAGCTGCTACAATATGTTATCTAAAATGTTCACTTTGCAACTAAAAATATGAGCTAGGCAAAGAATAAGGGGGAAAAAAAAGAACAGCAAACAATAGAAAATGCCTGTGAAGGGGCCCAGGTGTTAGACTTAACAAAGACTTCAAAGCAGCTATTATAAGTATGTTCAGAGAACTAAAGGAAACTATGCTTATTGAAGCAAGTGAGGCATGATGACAACATCTCATCAAATAGAGAATATCAATACAAAGATGGAAATTATAAAAAAAAAAGAAAGAAAGAAAGAAAATAATTAGAAGAACAATCTGTAGTTAAAACTACCTAACTCACTCAAGTCGGATCTGACTCATAATAACCAGGGCAGTGAATTTATGTGAATGAGGGAGGAACATGTCAGAAAAAGAGGCTGAGAATGGCTGCACAGCTAGAAGAATGTCAACAGTGTCACTAAATTGTACAGGGAAAAATTGCCAAGTTGGTGTGTGTTCTGCTGTGTATATTCTCAACAACAAAATAAATAAAATTTAAAGAAAAAAATAACTATACAACAGATTTTGAATACTTAGAGGCTGTCATACTAATAAAGACCTTGTATGTGTAAAAAAAAAAAGTATCATAACCAAAATGAAAAATTCACTAGATTCAACAGACTTGAACTTGCAGAATAAATAACCAGAAAACTTGAAAACATATCCATAGAGATCATGCAATTTAGTAATATAGAGAAAAAAGAATGAAGAAAAATAAACAGAGCTTCAGCAAAATGTGGGACACCACCATATCAAGCACATCAGTATATACATAATGGGAAATCAGGAGAGGAGAAAGAAAGGGATAGAAAAAAGTATCTGAAAGAAAAATGGCTAAAAACTTGGCCAAAGTCAAAATTAAGCACTATGCTCATCAAAAGACTTTACCAAAAGAGTAAACAGAGAACTTACAGACTGGGAAAAAATCTTTGGCAATGACATATTTGACAAGGGTCCAATCTCTCAAATATATGGAAAACTTCAAGAACTCAACAACAAAAAGACAAATAGTGGGTAAAAAATCAAAAATGGGTAAAGGACATGAACAGTCACAAAGAGGACATTCAGATGACTAATAAACACATGAAAAGATGGTCATGATCATTAGCCATCAGAGAGATATGCAAATCTAAACTACAATGAGATACCACCTCACCCCGGCAATAATGGCAGTGACCAAAAAAAAAAACAGAAAACAACAAGTACTGGTAAGGCTGTGGGGAGACTGGAATTATAAAATGGGATTACAGAATGGTACAACTACTATGGGGAACGGTATAGAGCTTCTTGAAAAATATAGAAATAAGCAAAGAAGAATGAAGAAAACCAAAGACGCATGGTAACAATTAGTCCAAGCGACTGGTACACCAAGCAATCCTCAGCTATATAACTATAAGACCAGAAGAACTAGATGGTGCCTGGCTACCACTGTCAACCACTCAGAAGGGGATGTATGTAGGAGATCCTGGATAGAGTTGGGTGAACAATGTGAGACAAAACTCAAAATCATAAAAATAAAAAAGGGCCACGTTTGCTGGTCTGATGGAGCCTGGTGGAACCACTGAGACTATGGCACCTAGCTGCCCTTCAGGTCTGGAATTGTACCTACTCCCGTGGCTTCCAGCCAAACAAAAGACAGGCATATGAGCTCAACATTTATATTAAGTAGATACACTCCTTGGAGAGAACAATCTTGGAAGAATAGAAGGGCTGTGTATGCACAGGGAGACAGCTTGGGGGGCAGGACTGCTTGGGAGGGAAGGACACAGGGAAGAGGTAACTATGGGGAGGAAGTGGGAGGGGAGATGTTGCATTGTGGGAAATTGTAGTCAATGTCATGAGACAAAGTGTACATGAGCTGCTGCGTGGAAAGTGAATTTTCTCTGTAAACTTTCATCCAAATTACAATAAAAATTTTAAAAAATCTAGAAATAGAAATACCTTATGATGCCACAGTCCTACTTCTAAGTGTATGTCCTAGAGATATAAGAGCAGTGACACAAAGAGACTCATTGTAACATCATTCACAACAGCAAAAAGATGGAAACCACCTAAATGCATATCAGTGGATGAATGGATAAGCAAGTTGTGGTATGTACATGCAACGGAATACAAAGCAACTATAAAGAATAATGAGGAGTTCATGAAACATCTCATAATATTGATGAATCTGGAGGACATGATGCTTAGTGAAATAAGTCTATCACAAAAGGACAAGTATTGCATGGTGTCACTTTTATGAAAGTCAAGAATTGGTATACACATAGAAAGCCATAGTCTTCAATGGTTACCAGAGATCGTCGAGGGCGGGAGGAGGAATCACTTGCTAGACAGTAGACACCTGTAATCTCTGGAGATGATGAGAAAGGCAGTACACAATATAGAGCAAGTTCACACTCTTTGACCAAGATAAATGAAGACACTGAGAGACACCCAAGTATCAAGCATAGTTAGTCATAACATTGAAGGAGCTCTGATGGTGCAGTGGTTAAGGTATTTGGCTGCTAACCAAAAAGCTCAGTGATTTGAAACCATCAGCTGTTCCATGTAAGGAAGTGGGGCAGCTAGCTTCTGTAAAGATTTACTGCATTGGAAACCCAATAGGGGTTGCTATGAATCAGAACTGAGTCGATGGCAGTGAGTTTGGTATTGTTTTTGAGAGTTATAACATACATGAATTTGAAATGACAATAATAACAACCAACAAAGTACATGTATGATTACAGGGACAGATACGTATTCTATACGTGTATAGGAAAGTATATGTGAGTACATGCATGCACGTATACAGGCGTATTTGTAGGCACAAGTATATACACGTTTGGGTGTGCTGCATATATATTCACATACATAACAAAGCACATAGGGGGCATAGTTATGGACTCTTCCAGCCACATCCAAACACCTTGCAGGACTGGTTTACTGGGTTAAAAGGCTGATGCCACAGTCTTGTGGAACAAGTGGGTAAACTGTTATAACAATTTATAATGATAATATCCAATATCCCGGTTTGGTGAGTGGTGTCTGGGGTCTTAAAAGCTTGTGAGCAGCCATCTATTGGTCTCTTTCCATCTGGAGCAAAAGAGAATGAAAGCAACCAAAGATTCAAAAAAGAAACTAGTCCAGAGGACTAATAGCTGACATGAACCACAACCTCTTCTAGCCTGAGATCAGAAGAACTAGATGGTGCCTGGCTACCACTATAATCATTATGATCAGGGACAAAAGAGAAGGTCTTGGATGGGAGAAAAATGTAGAAGTGAACTAAAATCCCTAAAAAAATAAAAAAGATTAGACTTATGGACTGATAAGAGACTAGAGGAACCCCTGAGACTACTGCCCAAAGATACCCTTTTAACTTGGAACTGAAGCCATTCCCAGGGTCTCCTTTCAGCCAAGTAGTAGATTGGCTTATAAAATAAACAGTATTACCAGTGCTCCCTTAAACAATCAACTATATGAGACAAAATGGTCAACATTTACTCAAACGCAAAGATGAGACAGCAAGGTGGGGCATGAAAGCTACATAAATGGAAATAGAACCAAATGGAAATAACAAGAATAAGGACACACTGCAAAAACTGTAATAAATGTCACGGAACAATCTGTACGAAGTGTTCCACAGGAACCTAATTTGCTGTGTAAACTTTCACCTAAAACACAATAAAATATTTAAAAAAAAAGAAAAATGTGGGAAACCATCAAGCACACCAATATATGTGTAACAGGAAATCAGAAGAGAAAAAAGAAAAGCATAGAAAAAATATTTGAATAAAATAATGGCTGAAAATGTCCCAAATTTGATGGAAGTCATGAACCTACACATCTAAGAAACTCAGCAAACTCTGAATAGGATAAATGTAAAAAGATCCAGATGCAGATACATCATAGCCAAAATGGGGAAAGTCACAGATAAAGACAAAATCTTGAAAGCAGTAAGAGGAAAACAACTCATCACGCACAAGGACACTCCAATAAGATCAACAGCTGACTTCTCAACAGAAACAATGGCAGTCAGAAGGCAATGGAATGACCAATTCAAAGGGCTGCAAGTCAAAAACTGTCCACCAACTATCTCATACTCAACAAACTATCTTTCAAAAATGAAGGTGAAATAAAGACATTCCCAGGTAAACAAAAGTTTAGAGAATTTGTTGCTAGCAGACCTGCCTTACAAGGAACAATGATGCACAATTAGTTGGCAATGAAAAGGAATGATGTATTGATTCATGTTACAGTGTTGATGAACCTTGAAGACATTATGCTAAAGTAAAAGAAACAAAGGACCACACATTGTATGATTCCATTTATACAAAAAGTTCAGTATAGGCAAATCCATAGAAACAAAGTAGATCAGTGGTTACCTAGGGTGGGGAAAGGCAGGGATACGGAGTGATTGCTAATGAGTATAGAATTGTTTTTCGGGGAGATAAAATGTACTTAAATTGATGGTGGTTGTGGAGGCTGTATAACTGTGAATATACTAAAAAGTATCAAATTGTCCACTTTAAAGGGATGAGTTGTATAACATATGAATTATATCTCTATAAGGTTAATTTTAAAAAATACTAAAAAAAAATAAAGTTTTCAAGGATGAAAACAAGTGACACCAGATAGCCATAAGGTGGGAACAAGAGGTGGAATAAAAAGACCTGGGACATAGGAGGGAAAAAAAAAGAAAAATGGCAGCTGTAAACCCAACCATGTTGTTGTTGTTGTTGTTAAGTGCTGTCGAGTCATTTCCAACTCATAGCGACCCCATGCACAGCAGAACAAAACACTGCCCGATCCCGCGCCAGCCCCACAATCCCTGCTATACTTGAGCTCATCATTGCAGCCACCATATCAATCCATCTCGTTGAAGGCCTCCCCCTCTTTCATCGACCCTCCACCCTACCAAGCATGACATCCTTCTCCAGGGAATGGTCCCTTCTGACAACATGACCAAAATAGGTGAGACGAAGTCTGGCCATTCTTGCTTCCAAGGAGCATTCTGGCTGCACTTCCTCCAGGACAGATCTGTTAGTTCTTTTAGCAGTCCATGGTACTTTCAGCATTCTCCCCCAGCACCACAACTCAAAAGCATCAACTCTTCTTCAGTCTTCCTTATTCATTGTCCATCAATGATGACAATTATGAATAGCAAAGAAACACTGTTTGGTACATTACCACACACCTTTAGGAATAGTCCGTTTAGGCTAAAAGGCTCTCAAAATAGGACTGGGAAAGAGTTGTAACATCTGAGTAAACCCAGCCTTACTCATATGGAAAAGAGAAAGAGAAACCCAACCATATCAATAATAAAATTAGATGTACATTGATTAAATAATCCAATCAAAAGACAGCAACTGTCAGGATGGATTTAAAAAAAAAGATCCAACTAACACTGCCTATAGGAGACAATTTATATTCAAAGGTACATTTCAGTTGAACATAAAAGAACTGGAGTAGGTATACTGTGCAAACAACAACTATAAAAGCACTTGAGTGGCTACATTAATATCAGACAAATTAGACATTAAAACAAAAAATATTATGAGAGATAAAGAGAACCATAATGATAAAAGGGTTAGGTCATCAGGATTATATAACAACTGTGAACATATATACATTTCACAACACAGCCCCAAAGTACATGAACCACAAACTGACAGAACTGAAGGGTGAAATAGTTGACTGAACAATAATTGTTAGAAATTTCAGTACCTTCAATAATGGAAAAGAACAACTAGACAGAAGGTCAACCAAGAAATAGAAGATGTTATCAACACTATAAAACTAATGGGAGCTACAGACCGATATGGGACATCCCACTCAACATCAGTAGAACACAGTCTTCTCAAGTGCACACGGACATTCTCCAGGACAGACCATGGTCTAGGCCATAAATCACGCCTTGATAAATTTAGAAGGATTCAAATCATGCAAAATCAGGACTGTGACCACACTGGAATTAAATAAGAAGTCACTAACAGAAGGAAATCTGGAAAATTCACAAATATGTGGAAATAAAACAACCACAGTCCTAAATAACCCATGCATCAAAGAAATCATAAGAGAAATTAAAAAATACTTTGAGAAAATGAAAATAAAAACACAGCATACTAAAACTGAGAAGATATAGCTAATGTATAAGTCATAAAAGGGAACAGGTCCTGATACATGCTGCAACATGAACAAAGCCAGAGAGTGAAGGAAGTCAGACAAACAGGCCACTTACTGTCTGATCCCCTCTCTATGAAATGTCCAGAAGAAAGAAGTCTACAGAGACAGAACATGCATTCAATATTGTCAGGGGATGGGAGTGGGTGGGAGGGAGTCTGCTGATGGGGGCTGGGGATACGGGAGGTTGGGGGTTCTGCTAACAGGTGCAGTGCTCCTCTTTGGAGTACTGACATTGCTCTTAAGCAGTTTTGTTATTTTTTTAAAAAACCACACAGAAGGGCACAAGGTGGTCAGGCTAAATGGCCTCTGTGTTTTCCTCCTAGCTGTAAAACACTCTGGTGGCATAATGCCTATGGCATTTCACTGCTAACCAGAAGGCTGGCAGTTCAAACCCATCAGCCATTCCTAGAAGGAAGACTGAGCAATCTACTTCTGTAGCGGTCACTATGAATTCAATGGACTCAACAGCGGACAGTTTTTTTTTTTTTTTTCTTAAGCGCAGAGAAGGCTGCTGGTCCAGGCCAGGCCCGGGATACTTCTGAATGTCAATGGCACCCTCAGGTGACCAGGTACCCCTCCAGGTCAGAGACAATGGCAGGGGAGAAGGGACCTGGAGCAGTGGAGTTGGCGGGCGGCAGACTCACTCACCAAGCACAGTGCTGAGGAGCTTGGTGGGACCCGCCTCCGTGGCCTGGGAGCAGAGGGTGTTGAAGTAGAGCCCTGAGCCCTCCCGGATGGGGCTGAGCATGGGGGGCGGCGTGTAGGGCGAGCACTGGGGCAGGACCTCCAGGAGCTGGTCCACCAGGAACACCGGGGGCCGCAGGCAGCTCTGGTGGTGTCCACCGGGGTCTGGCTCCCCAGATGTGGAGCATGCAGGAGGGATGAACATGGCCTTGGCCTGGGGATGCTTCTTCTGCTTTCTGTACTGGCTGCTGTCTCGCTCTTCCCCATCTTCGTCTGGTCCCTGGGGAAGAAAGGCATTCAGGATTCCAGGTGCTCAACAGGGCACCCACCACTCTGCTGTCTTGGTTATGGCACCAAGGGTGAGGGGCTCTCTCTCTCTCTCTCTCTCACACACACACACACACCCCAAGCCATCTGTGCCAGGAGCCCGAGGCAAGGAGGCCAAGAGCCCCCCACACCAGAAGAAGCAGGCCCAGGACTCTGAGCCTGGGGACAGCTGAGGCTGCAGCCTGCAGAGACATTCACACCCCCAGGAGAGGCCCCAACTCAGAGGATTCTGGAACTCTTGAGAGGACAGTCTCAGTTGTTACAGTGACTGGCATGTAAGGAGTGGGGACCAGGAATGCAGGGGGAAGCAACAGTCTGACAAAATGACAACAGGTCCTGTGAGACCAAAGATGAGGCTCAGTCATAGACTAAGGTGACCTTCTGTCCCAGAGCCAGTGTGAGGCTCTCTGGGGGAGGGCTCTTCTGGCACCGACTTAAGGGACAAGTCCCACATGACCAATCCCTTGATCAAAATCTCTCCTCCTCTCTGCCAGTCTCCCTCCCCCTCCTCCTCCTCCTCCTTCAGGTCTTGGCTCTGATGTCCCTTCCTGCAGGAAGCCCTCCCTGACCTCTTCAGGATGGGTGAGGTGCCCCTCTGAGTACCCCCAACTCCCCCCACTCTGGGTCCTCTCTGTCTGAGGAAGGGTCTGTATAACCTACTGAACTGGGAACCCTGAGAAGACAGGGCCAGGATGTCATGGTTACAGGTATGTCCCCAGCATTGCCCAGCACAGGGCCAACCACAGAGAAGACTCAGTGAATGTTCATTGAATGAATGAATGAATGAGTAAGTCACCTTCTGGAGCCAGGATTGTCATCAGTGTTTGGTTTGGGTTCTCCTCATAGTTTCCTTTCTGGCACAGGGCCAGAGAGGCATCCACACCCACCTTGGCTGTGCTCCCTGAGGGACAGGTCCCAGGGGCCACAGGGACAGACACAGGGATCACCAGAGAGGATGCTGCTGCATTGTCCATGGGTTTCTTGGCTCCTGGAGGGCTCTGCCCATCCCTATCTGGCCTCATCCCTTGTCTTGGTGGCTTGCAAAACTCCGAGCCAAACACCTAGACACAGAAAACAGCTCTTTAAGAAGAACCACAGCTACTACCCAGGGGCTGTCTCATCGATTCTGACTCATGGGACCCCCCATGCATCAGACCAGAGCTGGGCTCCACAGGGTTTCCAGTGGCTGGTTTGTCCCCATGTCATCAGACCTTTCTTCCAAGGTGCCACTGGGTGAACTCAAACCACCAACATCTTGGTTCGCAGCCAAGTGCGTTTAGCTGTCTGTGCCGCCCAGGGACTCCGAGAGAAACAGTAGCCCGAGAAAAGAAGGTCAGCGGCAACAAAAGTAAACCTTGGGGCAGCCGACCTGGAGCAGGGCCAAGCTGAACTCACGCGTCCCCTTGGGATGGTGCCTCCATCCTGAGATGACTGACCCCTAGGTGGTGACTTCTTCCAGCTGGTCAGGAATCCCACCCCCCCCCGAGAAGCCACTGCCCGAGTCCCTTCACCTGCTGCTCCTGCTTCCCGCTTGGCGACGACCACTGGTCACTGTGGAAACAAATGTGGCTGCTAAGGCAGTGTAAAACATCTGGCTGCAGTTCTTGCAGGCATAAGTGCTCCTTGGCTCTGTCCAGTCTGCCAGACCCCCCATTCTGCTGGTTACTATGGGTAGATGTGGCAGGAGGGGAGAACAGTAGGAGGGGACTCTGTCCCTGAACACTGACTGGCCTTTTGTTGTTGGGGCCTGACCCCCAGACAACTCTTGATGAACCCTAAGAAAGGCAGGCTAGACTCCAACTCTTCATGGCCTGGCCCACAATCCTTAGGACTGAAAGCACCCAGAGCCTATTCACTGGGGCCAGCACCCGAAAGCCACCCGTGCCCTTCTGAGCGAGTGGCTCCGGGCAACCAGAGGCCTTCACTTACCATCTAGCTGCCATGTTCTCCTCCTTCACCTGGTGGGGGACCTCGTAGATGTTTCCACCCTAAGGATGAGAGGACAGCTGAGCCACCATGCCAGAAATGAGAAGGCACCACAGAGTAAAAGCAGCAAGCTCTTAGAAGAAGACCCAGGCGCGATTCTTCCTAACTTTGGACCACATAATGGTCTCTTAGATGACGTCAGGGCACACACACACGCACAGTACACAAACTGGACATCATCAAAACTAACAACTTTAGTGCTTCAAAGACAACCATCAAGAAAAGGAAAAGACAAAGCATGCAATGGGAGACAAATTTTGCAAATCCTAAAGTAGACCAGAAGGCTGGTGGTTCAAACCCACCAGCCACTCCTCAGAAGGAAGGTTGGGCAATCTACTTCTGTAGTGGTAGTGCCTCAGAAACCCAAGGAGGGGTTGCTATGAGTTGGGTCCGACTCGAGGGCACATCACAACAACAACAAAGGAGACTTGGAGGTGCAACGGCTGCTAACTGAAAGGCTGGCAGTTTGAACCCACCTAGCGGCTCCATGGGAGAAAAGCCTGGAAACCTGCTTCCATGAAGATGACAGCCAAGAAAACCCTATGGGGCAGTTCTACTTTGTTACAAGGTGTCACTAAGAGTCCAAGGTCAACTTGATGGCACTCAATAACAACATATCTGGTAAGGGACTTGCATACAGAATTTACAAAGAACTCTTACCAAACCAAATCCATTGTCACAGAATTAACTACAACTCATAGAGACCTCATAGGACAGAGTATAACTGTTCCATAGGGTTTCCAAGGCTGTCATTCTTTATGGAAGCAGACTGCTACATCTTTCTCCTGCACGGTGGCTGGTAGGTTCAGACCACTGACTTTTCAGTTAGCAGCCAAACAATTAACCACTGCAATACCAGGGCTCCTTAACAACTCTTACAGCTCAGGAAAAAAAAAAAAAAAAGGTTTGCTGGTCTGATAGAGCCTGGTGAGACCCCTGAGAATATGGCTCCTAGTTACCCTTCAAGTCTGGAACTGAACTCACTCCTTTGGCTTTCAGCCAAACAAAAGATAGGCATTTGGGCTGAACATTTATATCAGGTAGGCACATTCCTTGGAGCGATCAATCATGGGAGAACAGAAGGGAAGTGTGTGCACAGGGAAACAGCTCGGGGGGCGGTGGGAATGCATGGGAGGGAATGACACAGGGAACAGGTAACTATGGGGAGGAAGTGGGAAGAGAGCCGTTACATTGTAGGGATTGCAGTCAATGTCATGAGACAAAATGTTTATGAAGTGCTGTATGGAAAATGAATTTGCTCTGTAAATTTTCACCCAAATCACAGTAAAAATTAAAAAAA